CGCCCACACCCTGTCCCGGCCTGCAGCCCCGAGACAGCTCGTCCCCGTCGGGTGCGCACTCGGTGAGCGTCAGAAGAGACCAGTGCTCTGACGCTGCCGTGTCCACACTGGGCTTCGGCGGTCATTTTCCGAGTCACAGTTTTACCTCTCGAGGCCGGTGCAAGCCTTTTTGAACGATAAATTCATCCAGAACCACGAGACGGCCTTCGTAACGCCGTAACTCAGGGCAGCACCATCCAAGGGTGTCCGCAGCGGGGCTCGGGCACCAATTACCATCGGGGTTGTTTCGAACACGTCGCAGAGGCCCACTCTGTGCATGTGTTACGACTGTGTGTCCTCAGCGCTGTTGATTTAGTTCACAAATGCTCTGGCGGGCCCTGGTCGAGGGTCTGTCCCGCTCTGTGCTGGCTCAGCTGGCCTGGCACCCACAGAAGCCTCCGTATCCAAGTGAGAGGAGCCTTTGCAGGCTTGGCTCAGGGGGAGGGGCTGGCTGTCACTCCTCTGGGAGTTCCCGCCCTGCCAGCACTGTGCTCCCCTCGCTCCCCTCCGCCCCGCATGGCCCCCATTTCAGAATGTCGCCCAGAATGTGCCTGAAACCCAGCAGGAGAGACAAACAGCCCCGTCCAGGGAGCTCTCGGCCCGCTTCCCTGGGGTCCACTTGCTTCCCCAGATACTGTACAGGGTCTTCCTGGCGGAGAGCGGCTCCGAGGGCCGAGAGCTCCCTCCCTCTCCCTGCAGAGCGTCTCCCGCAGAGCGTCAGCTCACCCTCCTGCCTCCCTGCAGAGCATCATATACTACGTGGCGACGTCCCCCAAACTCCCCTCCTGGACCAAGGACGAGTCGCTCCTGACGTCCCTGCAGCCATTTGCCAAGTGGCACCACATCGAGCGCGACCTGGCGCTGTTCAACATCAACATCGACGACGACTACGTCCCTTGTCTCCAGGGCATCACGCGAGCCAGCTACTGCAGCGTGTACCTGGAACTGTGCCCGGAGGGGGCGCGAGGTGGGAAGGCGGGCGGGGGCCGAGGGCAGGGCTGGGGCGCCGCGAGCGGGTAAGAAACGAGGGCCATTGCGGGTCTCTCATACGCCACAGCCGACGAGAATAAGGCAGGAGAGAGAGATCCATTGGGGGGTGGGGCCAAATGCTCGTTTAACGGTTCAGTGAGTGGGAGAGTCAGCACACCTGTCCTCGGGGAAGGGCCGCGAAGGTCAGGCAGCTCTGCACCGCCATCCCTTGGAGCAGGGCAGTGTGTGTCTGAAATGACACCAGCCTGCCGCCTGGGCCCGAGCAGCGGTCAGGAGCGCTGAGCATGTGGACTGCGGGCAGACGCCGGCCCGCAGGCCGCTGGCCACTGCCTCCACAGTGCCCCTCTCTGCCTTATGGCGCATGCCCTGAGGACACTTCTGGAGAGAGCCTTCCCCTCGGGAACGAACACAGCACTGCAGCAACAGCCCATGAGGGGCTGGCATCTCCAGAAGGCTCTGCCCCCCTCAGCTGGCTCAGATTTATTTCCCACAGAAGCTATTCTGACTTTAAATGTCTTCTGCACCCCCGCCCCCACCTCTTTCAGAGCTGCCCTCGGCCGGCAGTGCTAGTCCCATTGTGGACTGGGGGTCCCGTGGTCAGCACAGCAGCCCCCCCCCTAGGGAGAAGGAAGAGCCTCCTTCCTACACGTGGCTCCCCCTGCCTGATGGGCAACCCCCCGACTGTCCTCGGGGAGCTGGGCATCAGGCCACATGTGGCCCCTTCTCCCTAAAGTGCCTTCCCACCTTAATTTTGTCCATGTTCAACCACAAGAGAAAGTGCTTCAGGAGCCGGGGGCCCAGCTGGAGGGCCCAGATGACCACAGGGCTGCCATAAAATACCTCTCCGGCTCCCCATACTCGACCCCACCGGCATGGGCTGGACCCCACATGCAAACCGAGTTGACATCCTGGCTCTTTCAGCCCGCGCAGGTCCCGGACAGTGACGAGGACTCTCCCCTGGTGACCCTGTCCTTCGCACTGTGTATCCTGGGGAGGAGAGCTCTGGGGACCGCAGCTCACAACATGGCCCTCAGGTATGGGGGGACCCAGCTCACAACATGGCCCTCAGGTATGGTGGGACCGTGGCTCACAACGTGGCCCTCAGGTATGGCAGGACCGCGGCTCACAACGTGGCCCTCAGGTACATGGCCCTCAGGGAGGCCTTGGCTGGACAGGAGCCTGTGTTTGCCGTCCTTAGAGCATAGCACACACTTCCCTGCTCAGCGCCCCCCCATGGGCCAGCTCTTGGGGATGTTAGAAGTCTAGGATGGAGTTAGGATGGTGGGCAAAGGGAGAGAAGAGAGGGAAGACCACCCTTCCTCTGCTCTGATGGAGGACAAGCCACTTTCCCAAAACCACCCCCATTTCGTCCACTGTCCAAAGGCCCCAGGCCCTGAAGATTCTCCTGGGGACACCAGGGTCTCCCCTCAGGAAGCGCTCAATGGTGTGTAGGACCCGGGGACAAAGCAGAAAAAACAACAAACAGGAAGCCAGGACAGCCCTGGGCAGTGCGGAGCCTCCCTGTTCTGCCCCTCCCTCTGCTTAAAGGAGGGCGGGCCTGAGAAAGAG